CGTACCTCTGCCGATCAAGATGAGTCTCTTCCCTCCACCGACCGCGTACGCAATTCCCGTCAAAATGACTTCAACATCCATCTCATCTCCGCCCGCAAACAACTTCGCAGCGCACTCAAAACCGCAAAAGGATTCGAAAGACAACGACTAGGGAAACGATTGACAAACGCGACTAAAGCAAGCGATGCGACGCAAATGGCGCGGATACGAAAAGAAATCGAAGCGTTGAAAACAATGGATTTGGATAAAGTAACGGAACAGCGATTGGCAAGAGGACTGGGGAAAATAAAAGTTATGAGTGAGAGTGGGTTTTTGCCTCCGGGATGGGGGCAGAATGGTGAAGGGGTGAAGGGATGGGAGGGAGAAAAGGGAGAGGAGGATGTGAAGATTTGGAATAATGTTGTTAGTGGGATGTGGAATTTTAAGAATGTGAAGAGTGTTTGGGAGGGGGTAATTAGAGGGAGTTATATGAGTATGGGAATACCAGCACCGGTTATGGATAAGGGGAAGAAAGGGAAGGATAAGGTTAAGGAGAAAGTGAAGGAAGATCCGAAGAAGAGCTCGAAAAAGAAGGCGCGGGGTGAGGGTGAGGATAGTGATGTCGATATGGAAGATACGACACAGAAATCGTCGAAGAAAAAGGATGAAGAGGATTCATGGGAAGGTTTTGATTCCCCTGGTGATGACGAAGACGAAGATGATTTCGAAGATGATGAGGAAAACGAAGGAAATGTATCAATGGACGAAGAAACGCTTTCAAGATATGACGCTCTATTAGGCGCGTCTTCAGACGAAGATTCATTCGACGAAAAAGAATACTTGGAGAAATACCCCTCAACCTCGAAATCAAATCCCCGCCTCTCCCTCTCTCTCTCGCCAACCCCATCACGGTCACCATCCCCCGTCCCCTCAATCTCCCTCTCCGACTCAGAAGACGACCAACCATCCATCCCCCGTCGCAAACCCTCTCCCTCCCTCTCCCCCTCCCCAGAACCCCAACCCAAACTCAAAAACCCCAAAAAATCCATCACCACCCCCACCGAATCCACAAAAAACAGCACCTTCCTCCCCACCCTCATGGGAGGCTACTGGTCCGGCTCCGAATCCGCCTCCTCCCTCTCCGACACCGACATGAAGCCCGTCGTGCGCAAAAACCGCATGGGTCAAAAAGCCCGCCAAGCACTCTGGGAGAAGAAATTCGGCAAAGGCGCAAAACACATTGCGGCCGGCGGACTCTCGGTCGAGCAGGAACGCGAAATAAAACGTGCGGAGAAGAGCGGGCGCAAAGCGAGAGATCTGAGTAGAGGCAAACGAGGCGATTTTAGAAACGATACAAACAATGCGAATATGATGCAGGTGAAGCCGAGAGAGAAGGTGAAGACGAGAGATGATGTGGGCGTTTTGCATCCGAGTTGGGAGGCGGCGAAGAAGGCGAAGGATGAGAAGGCCAAGGCGACTTTTAGTGGGAAGAAGGTGGTTTTTGATTAGGGGGAGAGCAGTGCCCATTGTGGGATGAGTAGTATGACGTGTATCGATATTGAAGTGATAGCTGGTATAGAAAATACCCTCGCGTGGATTACGATATTTTATTACCTATCATAGTAAAGCAAAGACAGAAAGAAAGATCAATTCAAGAGAATGAAATCAAAAGTATTTCTACTGCCGCCTCCCCTCCCATACCATTCCCTCCAATCTCATCTATGATTCTGTGGATAGGTACTAATCATTACACCCTCTTATCCGATCACAATCATCACTATACTCTCAACTAGCCAAAGAATCTAATGTTTATAAACCTAACCTCCAAAACCAACTTCGCTTCGCAATTGGATTTTTTTCAATACTCGCTCGCTGTATAGAAATTTATTTCCATATTTCAGTCTCTCTACGCACTGTCTGTAGTCTAATATTCATTGACTCTAACTCTGAATCTGATATGAATCATATCATGTATAAGCTTTCGCCTCCCCTTTCTCTCCCCCCCCACCACCCCCTTCCAATCGGCTTTTTCGTTATGCATATGTGTATAATCCACACTCCCCATCATGATTATTTTCCACATTACTCATTCCTCATTATTCAATCCAGATCAACCCCATCCATCGCCTCTTCCAAACTATTCAATGTCTCATTCACGTTTCCCTTCCCGTCTTCCCCCAACCTTGCGTTTTGTTCCAAAACCCCTGGTTCCACCGTCTTCAGTTTTTGATTCAATTTCTCCCCCTCCTCTTTCACCTTTTGCAAATCCTGTACTTCCACCTCTCCCTCACTCCCACTCACACTTCTTGTCCCCCCCTCACTCTCCGTCAAAGGCGGTGTAACTTCCCCACCTACCCCGCTCTGTACCCCGCCATCCCACTTTCGTTTCACATGATCCAAATTTCTCTTCAACATGCACATTTCCAACGCGATACCGGGACCAAATGCACAGCCTACGATCATTTCCTTGGGGCCTCTGCTATTGGGTGTAAGACCATCCATGTCTTTACAGCGTAAACGATCCAAGACACTGAAAATGGTCGCGCTCGAGGAATTGCCGTGTTTCATGTAGGTATCGTAGGAGGCTCTCATGTGCTCGGGGGAGATGGACATGGCCTTTTCGACACCGGTGAGGATAGTGGCGCCGCCGGGGTGGAGAGCCCAGTCAAAGTCGGCGGGGTTGCGGTATTCAGAGGGGAAGGAGCGGAGATTGGAGATCAGGGAATGGTAGCTGGGTGAGACAGCTTCGGCAGCGAGTTTAGGGACGCGTGGGGAGAGGATTACTTTCCAGCCTTTTATGGGTATTCAAATTAGTCTTCTTTCTCTCGATTGTCGCACAAAAACTGGGTGAATATGAACTTTTGTGAAAATAAAATATCAACATACCAAGCGGATCAACATCAAACCCCAGATCATGTTCCGTATCTGGAATCATCTTGTGTTCCCAACCCAACAAATCATAAACACTCTCTTCCTCTCCCATCCCACCAATCCCATTACTGAGTACACACGCACTCGCACAGTCGCTAAAGAGTGTAACACCAATACGCGTCTCCTGTAATTCATGTACACTATCCAGTTCACTTCTTACCAATAATGAACTAATTTCCAACGCCATAACTAAAACTCTTGCTTTTTTCCCTCGAAAACTATGTCCCAATGCTAAGTTTGCCGCGGTTCGTAAACTGGCAAGACCACCGCTACATCCGATTCCATGAAGGAGCACTTTTTCAACCGGTTGGGTTATTCCTAGAGCTTTGCACACGAAATGATCGTACCCAGGATTGGCGCTGTTGGTACATGTTGTGCTGACTACGTGGGTGATATCGGAGGGATCGAGATGGGCTTCGTGGAGAGCTTTGCGACAGGCGGTTACGGCAAGGGCAACGCCGTCTTTGAGGAAGATGGAACATAGTTCGGCGATTGTGGGGGCGCGATTCATGTTCGCCATAGGGTGGTCGACGGTACCGATTGCGGAGCGGGTTTCAATGCCGGTAAAATTGTTGATTGTGCAAACTTTTTTCATTCTGGGAATTGAGGGTTAGTGTGAGGTGTGAGGTATGAAGTGCATTTTAGAGAGAATTGGACACTGGAGCTTCAGGACTTGAGGGGGATTGAGAGAGGAGGGGAGAAATGGAGAAAGGGAAAACTTACGCTGGAGAGTCCGGATAGTGACGTTTGGTTAAAGTATCTAAATCTGCAGGTGCCAGTAAAAATGGAGGGTATTCGACTCCCAACCCAACGATTGAAAGATTGAGATTCCCGAATCCATTTTGAGTGGTAGATTGTTGTTGGGCGTTTTGCCCTTCTGTGTCGTTCGACATGGTTGAGAGGTGTGAATTTGAAATTATTTTAATTTTTGTCAGAGAATACAAGGCCAGAATTGGTGATTATTATCGAGCGAGTGAGTGATGTTAAAACAAAAGATAGAAGTATCTAAAGAGTGTGATTGTATGAGTATACTGAACAGCTTATAATATAAAACAGTTGTAAGTTGTAAAGCAGGGAAGTAGAATACATACCAGGTATCTTACGATTGATGAGGTAAACGATAAGGTTGAAAAGGAAAGCCGAGGTTGGGGCGTGAGATGTATCAAAGTAGCTGACCAGCCTTGTGAATGCGAGTAGGTCCCTTGATATGAGATGGGAGAAGGACGTGAGGATTTATGGTTTATGAGAACCTTACTACCAAGTAGATTTCCAATACCTAGTCCCTTGAATTTAATGAGATGCAATTTGGATGCGTACTTGTTATTGCTAATTATTAGATAGACGAGATAGATAGGTAAGGTTACATACATAGGTATCTACTTGAAGGAAAAATCGGACAACGGAACAATATAATATCAATTTCTCTCACATGCCAATCAAAATGATTCCATTTCTCAACCATTCAACCCGATTAAGAAATCCTCATCCGAATTATCTATTTGATCCATGCCAACCTACTGTAGTGGCTCGAGAGTGGCTACTGCGTATGTCTCTGAGTCGTTTCGATAAGGGTAGCTCTTACAATAGCAACGGAGGGGTAAACAAGCGAATAGTATCTAGGTACTCGCAACCATTACCTCATGAGTGAAAAGACACTCCGGATGATCCATAGGAGCATCATAGATAGCCAAGATGAAAAAAGCAACATCCATCATCATCTAATCAACATTTGACGTTTCCTCTTTCGAATCAATCATTGCCGAGTTGCGTGTGCTATCTTGAAAAAAGCATTCTATGGCTCGAGCTGGAGCATCAGATCTCGGAAGATTCGCAACTCTAGCGGGAAGCAAGGAATTCGACAGCACGTATCGTTAGAAGTAGTTTGATTGTCCGAGGGATTGTGTAGTGTAGATCTATTTGGCGCCCCGCTCTATATCAGTTCGAACTTTGAACTTTGAACCGAATTCAAGCCGCTTATGCAATAATATCATTCGGAAAAGATTCTTTGTATTTTCCAACAAGTGTACTGAATAGGTACCTGTCTATATTCTCCCTCAACGTACATTCCTGCATTCACGCTTCAGATAACAATGTCTCGCATCCAACGTCTCCCATTTTTCCTCCACACCCTTATCGAAATCCCCGCCTCCTTGAATTTCTTCCTCAACCCTTCATCTCAACTTTCTATTCCAGCACCGCAAGCTCACACCATTATCCAACAGTACGCAACGCTCCTTTTCGTTTCATGTCTCATCTCGATTATCTTCGCTTCACGACCTGTCGATAGAACAAGTCGTAATGTCGCGGGTGCTTTGTCGTTGTATCATGTTGCTCCGGTAATTAGAGCTGGAGGTAGGATTTTAACAGGGGAAGGATTTGGAAAAGGAGTGAAGGGATTGGGGGGTCCTGGGGTACATTTGTTTGTCCATTTTATCTGTTGTGCTGGTCTTTTGAGACTTTTCTTATCACGAAGGAGGAAAAGACGATTTTGAAAAGTTATGTTGATTATCTGTTCGAAGGTCTGGATGGATTTGTCTCTCGGTCCATCTAATTATCATTTCTGAGATGAATAGGAATGCAACTCGTTAACATATTCCGGGGAGATTTGCAGAGCGCAATGGAAAGACAGAATTGCTTCCAGTATTTTGAGATTATAAGTTACTGCTTTCTGCGATTTGGCCTATTGATTTATTGTTTATGAAGCTACAGCGCCCATTCTCCACCTTTGGTTGTCCGCCAATGAGAAATCACAAAAGATGTGGTTTGGTGTCTCGTATCCATCACCCCTTCATTGGCCGCCTTACAATGAGTTGAAAATCTCTAGACCACTTTACGACTTCATCTATGGCGTCTTCAAATCCCAGAGAATCGACAAGACGACCCCATAAAAAGTCTAGGTATGGGTGCAAAAGCTGCAAGACAAGGCGATTAAAGGTTTGGACCCCCATTCTTGTTAAATAACACCACCAATTCCCAGTTCTAATGGCGTCCCTAGTGCGATGAGACCAAGCCAGCATGTGCAAATTGTTTGAGGCACAGCATACAATGTGAATATTTAATCTTGTCTCTCAATAATCCCGCGCTTTCAGCACTTTCCACAAAGAAGTTACCTCTACCCACTACAGTGACAGTCACGCGACGAAATGCTCATTTCTCGCGTCCTGTTCCGCGCAATCCCATTTCTTTTTACTTCCCGACCTCCATTTCCACTACTGTGTCGGGAGTAGACGAAGCACTCGAGCTCCGCCTATTTCAACACTTTGTAAATATCACCGATGTACCTCAATTATTTTCTGCATGCAACATATCCCTATGGATCATTCAGCTCGCTTGTCGTCATCGTTCAGTAATGGAAGCTTTGTTGGGTGTTTCAGCATTTCATCTCCGGAGTTCATTTTCATCATCCTCTTCTGCTTTTCCCACCAGTGCAATACCTGAAAGTAAATCGGAGAGAGAAGTAATAAAAGCAAGTCATCATTATATGGGCTTGGCTATTGCTACTCATCGAAAATTAATCATCGAGGAAGGTATTACGGAAAAGACAGCCGATGCAGTTCTGGGATCTTGTTTGTTCATTACATATCATTGTGCGGGAAGTCGAAAATTCCTCAATCAAGCTCATGATTCAGCACCCTCGTCCAACAGCTGCACACAGAAACATAGGCAATTGTGTAGAGTACCACTGTATTGGTTCGTCCCCATGAAAAGTTTCAAAGATATGATATATCTAGCTGCAGCATACGTCCAAAATGAAGGAATGAGAGCACTTTTGCAATGGGAGGAAGCTAATGTTTGGATCATTCTCCAAAATGAAATGTTGCCGGATCCTGACAACGATTATCCTACGACATTTAATTTTCTCCTCGACGATTTACCGCTTGATGCACCGGATTATAATACCTATGCTCTTTGCATCAAGTATCTGAATCTCCTCAGCGGAGGTGAAATCACTAAATTTATTCTGAAATTCCCGGCATTGGTACCCTCGAGATTCGTGGAGTTGTTGAGGGAGAAAGATATGAGGATGATGGGTATAGTCGGGTATTTTTTGATGTTAGTGAGGAGAGTAGACCATGAGAAACATTTGTGGTGGATGGCAGGGGCGGTGGAAAATGATTGGGAGGGAATGAAACATGCTTATGAAAGTGATGAGGTGTGGAATAAGAGGATGGAATGGGCTAGGAGGGAGATTGAGGGTGGGGAGTTTATAGACTTTGGAATTGGTGAGGCGTTGGCTAGAGTTTAGGGAATGATTTATACCTTTTACCAGCATAATCGTTTGCTCAGGAATCTCTAAGCTTTTAGAGCAGTCTATACTAATACCGGATTACGTGGACAATCTGTACGAAGACTGTACGGGGAGAGCAGGGGACGAGCAAGGGTAAAGGGAAGCTCAGAGAAATTGGCAATTTCGAAGATCTATAATATCTATAATGTCTATGGTACGTTTTACGTAAAGTTTCTAGCTTCCTATTCTAAACATCTGAGGGGTCATCGGTAGTTAGCGGTTCTCACGGTAAGTTCGTCGTCACACGTTGGTCATGTGAAGTTCGTTTCGAACGTCAGACTTCTTGATGCACGGACTTAATGACTATGTATTTCCTCTCCTCAAAGCTATATTAACCTTTAGCAGTCTTACAAGTTACAATTCAATTTGTGTACATGTCACTTGGACAAAGATGTATCTTCTTTTATTGACCCTAGTATTCTCGAGATGCAAGATGCTTCTTCGGGCAAGTGGGCGTTTACCCACTGGCCGCTATTGGTGAGCAAACGAAAGATGGGTAACATGAGGCTTTGGGCAGCCAGCACTTCAGCCTTCCCCTCATTTCATGAAAACAATGCTGAGAACCCATTGCACGAAGAGCTTTGTCCGTTTCATCCCAGGATTTTCTTATTCCTTTTCTTCAATATACACATCACGCATTTGCTTTTATCGTCACAAACCCATCGACTATGGACGGACTCAGTGCTGCTGCTAGCATTATCGCTGTGGTTCAAATGGCTCAGGCTGTTGGTGGGGTTTTAATGGAATATTACGAAGGAGTCAAGAGTGCTCGCGACGACATTCAACGTCTTTATCATTCGATCAAGAATCTTGAGTCCGTCCTAAAGTCTGTTGACACTCTGCCACATAACCTTTCAATCAACATCCAAACACTTTTAGAAAACAAAACGGGAACTCTGTCGCTTTGCAAGGCTGAGCTTGATGGCATCAAGAAGGAACTCGATACCTTTTCGAAACAGCAAAATCATATCGGAAAGCTGAAGTCTTTGATATGGCCGTTCAAGAAGAAAGATGTGGATAAACATGTGGATTTTATCGATAAGCATAAGAATGATCTAGTGTTAGCATTTGGAGTTGAGAATTTGTAAGTCTGTTTGTTCACGTTCACCTACCACACTAGCCGAACAAAAGGCCTGTAAGGTATTCATGAGTTTCGTGAGCCACGATACATCTCAAGCGGTGGTGGGTCGGCCACGGCTATCTATACGGCTCTCCTCAGTCGTTACGTACCAAAATTCATGATCAATCTTTCTATATTGACCAAAAACTCAACAACATTTTGTTTCGAGATTGAGGCAATTACAAACACATTTATCTTAGGTTGAAAGATTTCAAATCTTCGAAGGCTTTTAGACATAATCATATTTTGGTACAGGTTGAAAAAGTGTGCCACTATCAAGTCGAGCAGCCTCTCATTGAGTACTAGATCTTGGCAAAGCACCACAGTCTTAACGGGCATCATTTATTCTAGGCACAAGCTACCTCCTGCATTTTGAAAAAAGCAGTCTGGCCTCTTGTATACCTCACAGGGGTGGGGAGTTGAGTATAAAATTAATCTGATTGTGTGTTCATTATTAGGCACATTTCCCTGCGCCACCATGACATCTTAGAGGATATTCACAGCGAAATAAGAGCGGCTCAGAGAGACCAAGAGCGGAGCCAGATAGTTGATTGGCTTGCAAAGTCGCTCCCTGATCCATCCACAGAGCATAACATCGCCCGAGAAAAGTTTCAAGAGGATACGGGATCCTGGCTAATAGACGGAAATCATCTCAACACCTGGTCGAAATCTAGTAATTCATTCTTTTGGCTCAACGGGGGCGGTGAGTTTGACCCTTTAATACCTAAAAGAACTAAGCTAATGATAAAATCAGCGGGGGCCGGAAAATCGATTTTATGGTATGTTCGACAACCTCTTTCCTTTGCCATCTAACATTACCACAGTTCTACTGTGATTGAGCATATTCAGCAACTCTGCAAACAAGAAATAAATGTTGTTGTCACATACTGGTATATCAAATTCGACAACTTGAATACACAGAGCGTTTCCAATATAATTCGTTCTTGGATTAGAGACATTTGTAGCAATCGTCGAGATACGCCGCAAACTTTGAAAGATGCATATTCCCATTGCAATCATGGTCAGCAGCAACCGACTTTCAAAAAAATGATGAAAATCCTCAAGTCTGTTGTGGTTGGCCTTCAAGATGTTTATTTGGTTGTGGATGCTCTGGATGAGTATCCCAAGACAGAACGGGATTTATTACTGGAGACTCTCAAGGATATTCATCAATGGAAGATTGATTCTATACACATCTTTGTCACGAGTAGAGTAGAGGACGATATTCGATATCATCTAGCTAATTTGAGCGAGCGGGATGTTTCGGATAGCTACCAAAGCATTAGAGTTCAAGATCCAAACATTTCTGAAGATATCAAAAAGTTTCTCAATAACAAAATATGTGACTTCCGACAAAAGATGTGGAGTTCTGAATTGAGAGAAGAAGTTGTGGATTCCATTGTGCGACAAGCCGATGGTATGTTCAGATTAGCAGCACTTCAATTGGATTCATTGAAACGGCATAGGACTGTGTCAGCAATCAGAAAGGGATTGAACCAACTTCCAAGCTCCCTGGATAAGTATTACGAAAGAGCGCTGAAAGACGTACCTGAGGAGGATCAGTACTACGTCAAAATTGCCTTACAATGGATTGCTTGCGCTGCACGCTCGTTGACAGTGTCAGAACTTTCAGAAGCAGTGATGGTTCAGGTTGAGACTCCTCCATATCTGAATGAAGAAAAGAGATTAAGCTGCGAGGGCAACGATTTCATTCTTCTTGATATGATTCCATCAACATTCATTACGGTCTATGAAAAAGAATACTCGTGCTACAATCCCGCAATATGGAACATAAATCCGTTCATTCAATTCGCCCACTATTCCGTCCAGGAGTTCTTACAATCAAGCCGTACGTCTGATGGACCCGTCAATGAATATCATATACGAGAGTTAGATGGTAATAGATCAATTGCAGCGCGGTCTATAGCATACTTACTTCATGTTGGTTCGATGTTGAAGTATCCATATCCTGAAGTAATCGACATATACCAAAGATTCCCCTTGATCTATCACGCAGCTCTCTGCTGGACTTATTATATTCAGCGCCTTGAGATTCAAAGTAGTGAGCCTGATAATCTCGTGGATTTTGTTCGTAAAATGGTATTGTTGTTGATAAATGACAGCCAACCCACGCTGAACAACCAATCCGCGCCGATCGATCCAGACTCATGGAACAATCGAAATGCGTGGGAAGTATCACAAATAATCTGCAAGGGTGCAGAACCAGAGCTTCCGTATTCCGCAAAAGAATTAGCACATGCGTATAATCCTCTTGAAGTTTACTTAGACTCTAGTTCCGTTGTATCATGTCCCTTATCTTGGCTTTGTTTTCATGGCTTGACTGGTTTGATCCAGCACTTGTTAAGCAACGCGCCACGCGAGTCCAGGGAAATCAATGAATCGAGAATTTCCGCTCTAGGGACACCTTTACATGCCGCAGCTTTGGGATCGCATCTTTCGGAGAGGACTGTCATGCTACTGCTTGCGGCAGGAATGAATCCAAACGCTCCGGGGGGAGAGTGGCGTTATCCACTACTTGCCGCTGCTCGCTTGAATCGACCAGAAATTTGCAAACTATTGTACGAGGCCGGTGCAGAACTTCAAGCTGAGATGGGCATGTGGAATGAAACTGCATTGCACATCGCCTGCGAACACGGTCATGTGGAAGTATGTAAATTTCTCTTAGACGAAGGATTTGACATTGAACATCGTGGGTCCTCTGATGAGTTGGGAACACCATTATTGGTAGCTTCAAAACACCAAAAATTAGAAGTTGTGAAGTTATTATTAGCGTCGGGTGCGGACATTGAGGCGGAACATGATACATACACACCATTGCAGTATGCATCAGCGTCTCACGATTTGCAAATGTGTGAACTACTCCTACATTCCGGTTGCGATGTGAATCACAAGACTAAAGTTGTGAATCGTACAACTAAACAAATAGTGGGCGAGTACTCTCCACTTCATCGGGTCTTTTCATTTTTTTGGCAAGTGCGCCCTTTTGGTGTAAACGATAACGACCCATGTCCAACAATCAAGCTCTTGCTGAAATACGGTGCCGATATACATGCTAGAGAGAAACCTTGCCTGAGAGATGGTTATAGGGCTACCGCAATCTATCTCTGCTTAGATTATTACGAATCCCTATTTTTCACTCCGATTAAGGACAATTTCGATTCTATATTGGATTGTGCTATAGATATTCTATTAGACGCAGGTGCTGGAGATGGCCCAGAAGGGGCGGAACTACTTTCAATCCTAAAAGAAAAATGTACCACGTTAGACGGGCAACGAAGACGTAAGATCCGGCTCTATGAAATGGAAGGGAGTTTTAAAAATCCAGAAAGATATGAAGCAATGGTTGAGCCGTGGAGTAAAGCTGTTGACTTGTACCGTGAAACACATCACCGAATATACAAGCAGCAGAAGAAAGAACGAAAGAAATTGACGCAGGGATGCTCTGTAGAAGACACTGGGGAAAGACAATTTAATGTGGAAGATGAGAAAGTGGCTAATGGGGAAATACGCAGGCGAAATATCATGCCTTAGAAGCAACTGAAATGATTCCATATATATTAGTTTCAAAAACTATTTTGAGAAGTATTGTAATCTTACGTTTCAAATGATGAAGTCCTCATTCTTAAAAATATCATAATAGCTTTTGGTGATAGATATGATTTTACCATCACATTTTGGATTTCACCACTCTTTGCACACTCTCCACTCTGAATCTTGAACCAGTGTTCTTGAGTAGAGAAGTCCAATATTTTATTTAGTTCTTTAGAATTGGACTGCTCTTTCATCATCATATCCATACATCTATTTAGCAACCTTAGGTCATATCTCAGCAATATATACTGAAGTCAGTACTCACCGCGGAAGTTTCTGCCCTATTAAAGACATCTCTCCATACTCTGGTAAATGAATATCATTAATGAGAACTCTTGCGCCTAGCTTAAGTCTGGGTATCAATGCTCGTAGAACTTCTCTTCAATAGAGATCTGAACGGTTGTGGAAGGTCTGGCGGAAGATATTTATTGTTGCGGCTTTGATGGGAAGGGTGGTGAAGTATTATGGGATCGGGGGATGAGAGATGTGAATTAGACTCTGGATTGGGGGTAGGAGAGGAGGTGAGGTGGTACTTTTGTGCTTGTGGTGGATGGGTAGGTGTTGGATGATGGAGTTGGGGTGGGTGAGGGTTGGATAGATCATAGAGTTAAAGAACTCTGTAGATCAATTAAAATCGAGGTGATCTCATAATCGGAAGATTCAATACCTCTGTGGACCAATCAAATGATGGCGCTTAATAACGATTGTATGATTATGGGATCTGTAACGAAAGTCACAATCTGCAGTGAAATACTACATGATGCGGCTGACACCTACGATATGTACCGAAACGCCGAAATCTATTGCTACCTTCTACGTGTTTTTCATGTTGATTTATTAGTCACCTTCCAATTAATTCCTTACTGCTTCTTTTCGCAGTGGTAACTTATATACAAATTAGCACGATGTCCAACGCATTCGAAATTTTAACTAATCTTCGAATGGTCTTCCGGCAGATACCCCCGAAAATCAGAATGAGAGAGAGAAGTTACTCTACGAACTGAGAAATATATCGCTGTCGTTAGAGAGACAAGACAATGCCGTCGAAAGAATTTCCTTCCAGGTAATACATGAACTCCTTTCCGAGTTGAGGTATACTGATTTGATTTCTACTGACTTCTTAACAATCAGCTGATGAAAACCGTCGCCTGTAGAATTGCTATTGATCTTGGGATATTTGAGCTTTTGGAAAACAAATCCTCGCCACAAACTATGAATGATATTGCCGAGAGAACACCCGGCGCCAATCCCACTCTCATTGGTCAGTTTTATTTGTGCAATTTTTACATGAACATGACTGAGACGTTGACAGGCCGAATCCTGCGATGTCTCGAGTCGTTTGGAGCTATCGGTGGAAACAGTTCAGCTGGTTACACGTCAAGCACCGTTCCAAAAGCATTTGCCAACAAACGACATCAAGCCTGTCTCAGATCATGGCAAGGTCATTCTTTTTCTTGCATGGTTTAATACGCTAAGCTAACGCGACATCTTTGACCCAGCTTCGATTTCTTAGCCCCCGGTTGGATACTCATACCTCAGTTCTTGAACGACGAGAAGTATCAAAATTCTACAAGTAGTACAGATACGCCATTCGCAAAAGCTTATGGTTTTAAAGATGGTGCGACGATATGGCAAATCTTGGAAACTACTGATCATATGCCCGTGATGGGACTCTGGGTGAGTTATGTCATCTGGCCCATCACTTAGCTTATCTCGGATTTTTTGACTATTAGAGAGGATTTCAATCAGATGCAAAGTTTCAATGATGGTCACAAGAACTTTCTCGACATATATCCAGCTATGGATCGACTTGCGATCGGTGCATCAACCGATTCCGAATCGGTTATGATGGTTGATGTCGGTGGAGGACAAGGCCATCAAGCCATTACTATGAGGAAAAAGGTTCTTCATCTCTCGGGAAGATATATTGTAACCGATCTTGCTCACGGACTACCTGTAAACAGAGATGAGAGTACAGGAGTGGATATCATGGTCCATGATTTCATGACTGAAATGCCCGTCGAAGGTGAGTGATATCGGCAATTCATGAGAACAATGAAAAATCCAATCATGAGCAACCTTTGAACTACAGGTGCTCGACTCTACTATCTCAGATATATATCTCATGACTGGCTATAAGCCGTGCTGATCTAAATTCTGAATCACACCCGTAGAGCCATGAAACCAGGGTATTCCAAGGTAATCATCAACGATTGGATTGTTCCAGCGGAAGGGGCATCAAAATTTATGATGGCTCAAGATTTTAACATGATGGCTAGTGGAGGAGGAATGGAACGTACACAGGCTTTGCACGAGGAATACATTGCTGCCGCGGGGTTGAAGATCAGTGGGATTTGGAAGGCAGATAATGAAATCAGCGAGAGTGTCTTTGATTGTGAATTGCCTAAGTTGATAAATGCAGATGAATTTAGATAGTCTGGTGGAACTTGGGGTCGGTTATTTTAGAGATGAGAAGTCACATTCGAAAACCCTAGTTTTAGTCAGATAAAAAGATGGGCTGCAACCTTTTTCTTATGAAAAGTAAAAACCGTATGTTGGTAGATAGTATGAAGCAAGGATCCCGACATCAATAATGCAAGATGGAGTTGTCAGAGGTGTGAATAGACAGACATGTTTGTTGGATCGACCAGACCCGTTGGTCAAAGCGCGCTAATGCGGCACGGGCCGAGAACGCTAAAGTACCCCGGAAAGCCTAAATTTTCGGGGAGCTTTAGCCTGAATGTTACCTGTGCGGTCTGGGGACGGAACAGATACAGAAATAATTGTCTAGCGACTATTATTTGAACGATCTGAGTCTAGTTACGTTCAGAATTGCAAGAATTTATGATGGATGTATTTGATTATTGTGAATTAAATCTCAGGGAAGAGCCCTGAGTTTCGAAGTTGTAAGTGGCAACATAATATTCTGTGGTACGAACTCAAGGGTCGAGTGCCAAGTACTTTCTGCGCACGAGTATCACTTCTGAACTAGATAGCCACACCCATGGTACTTATTGGACGACCATTTTACGAACTATGTATGTTCTCGAATATGCGGGACTTCAAGAGATCGAAGATGGGAATGAGCAGGTAGACCCAGTAAAATTTAATTACAAAGAACCACATCAACTGTGACTAAATCGCACCGAGAACAAGGCTAATAAATCGTTCCCGCAATCTCATAAATCTTTCTAAAGAACGGCAGCTTCTCTCCTCTCTATCTTTACATCTATACCTGTTTGTCTGACAAACCAAGAGTTTTGTACTTGCCATTCTTTCTCAGGGTCTACGAGATAAATCTATTTTGTGTAAGAATCTCGCTGGATAAAGGATAAATGATAAACTCACATTGTATGTCAAAAATAGACTAGCTATAAGCTTATATACTGAAAGTGTACTGATGTTCTTTCCAAGACAAATACGATTGCCAGCTCCAAAGCTCAGATCTGTTTGCTTCATCATAGAAAGACGAGACTGATACTCTGCTTCTGTTTCTAGATCTTCGTATCGAAGCCATCGTTCTGGAACGAAAGAGCCTGCATCTTCACCGTATACTTTTTTGTTTTGGTTAGTCACCCAGGGATTTATACCGACAATTGTTCCGGGAGGTAAGTAAGTTCCATTGGAGAGAGTAAGGCCAGTAGCAGGGACGATACGCTCGAGTAAAAGACCAACACCTGCGTGAACACGACTAGCCTCTCTGATGACAGCTTCGATATATGGAAGCTTGCTGACCTCCTTGTAGGCCACTGGAACAGACAAATTTGCGGAATCGAGCTCTCGAATGAGCTTCTGGTGCACTCGAGGATTCTTGATTGTAAAATAGATGATTGACCTCAATACAATTGCGCTTGTATCGGCACCGGCTAATACGTTAAGGAGAAGAGAACCCACAATGGCATTATCGTCCATCAATTCTGGGTTGGTCTTCTTGACTTCGATGAAGCTGTCCAGCATATCTTTCCTATCGGTAGATTTTTTATCTATACCTTGTTGGCGTGCTATTGATTGCTGCGCACACCATATTGCGGCTGTATCAAAAGTGGGAGGCCCGATAGGCATGATGGGATTTTTTCCCAGCCAGTGATCCAAAGCGGGAATCTGACCAACAACTCCAAAGTAGTCCAGGGCCTGTTCGGCAATGCGAATGAACCCCGTATGATCGGAAGCCGTTTCGATGAAGCGCGTTGGTCTACTGAATGTTATCTGAAAGATAAAATCCCATGAGAAATACATCATCCAATCCTCCATCTTGCATACGGTTCCAGCATTGGATCCATCCACAAAGAGTTCGTTCAGTCGTTTGAAGAAGGCTATGATGGTGTCATCTACGCTCTTCTCCAAGCTCAATACATTACCCATATTGTAGAACTTTTGGATTGGTCGAAGCATTTGGGCATGAACTTCATTGCTTTGGGTGCTAAAAGCATTTTTGATAATTGCTTTTCCCACTTTGGTATCATTAACGGTGTAAAAATCGCTCTTTTTGTTCGATATGTTAGAATCCACTACAATGAATAGGTCTTGCAATGACCTACCTTCAGGAAATCTCCTTTAAGACTGTATATTTTCGAAATGAGCTTTGGATCAGAAAGGCTGACAACATTTGGTCCGATTCGTACGGCTTGTCCATATTTTTGATGGAGAGTCTGGTGTGTGAGTTCCGGTCGGCCACCGTATACATCTATCAGGCGCCAGAGATTTGTAAATTTTGCTAGAAATGGGCCGGGGACACTTTTTAAAGGAGACGTGAAGTAATACCAAGCTAAATAGAATCCAAAAATGCAGATACTCAAGAGAATTACCTGTGAGATAGACATGTTTGGCGCCATGATCCAGCGATGAAGAGAAGATAATATGGGAAAAGAGCAAACGCGGAGTTAGTATTTGTGGTGGTCGGGTCATATAAAACGATAAAGAAGAAAAACATTCTGTAATTAATGTCACAAACAATATGTGATGAACAGGAGCATAATCGAAAGTACCCCTGGCTAATTTGCAGCATTACATAAATTATAGATTTGCAGCAGTCTCCACTAACCGTTGGTCACCCACATTAGCTAGATAGTAAGTTTTGAAATAAATACGGAGAGGCCTGAAGATTGACCTCCCCATACCGTTAGCCGACTCAGAAAATTGGCACTAACCTTATGGCGGCAAGTCAACAGAATCCTACGGAGCTCTTTTACTGCAACGATCAAGTTTAAACGATGCAAGGATGTGGCAGGGGAGGGTGATGCAACATATTCCTTCGGGGTCAATTAAGGCGAATCCGGTCCCGTCCCCTGCCATGGATGAAAGGATGGTTCTAAGAGCAGTAATAACTGACCATAAAATCTGAGTACGTATAGGTTTAAGAAACGATCTACCAAATAACATTATTGCCAGCTTCAAACGGCGTTACATTATTGAAATCAATTTACAACAGAGGGTTGAGGGTCAATGACCAGTATCTGGGACCAATGGTCAACAAGACAAACTATTATCCTTTTATTATACCAGTGAAGTGCTCACGGAAAGTACTAAATGGGTTTTCTATGACCGAGCTTCCCGATTGAAATCCATACCTCGAACTTATGGTGGACTCGAGTTTCGGGTGTTTTCAACACAAACACACGCATTATGCTTCTCTAAAGACTACATAGGAGAGTCTTACTTTGAAATCAACTCAGCTAGATTACTCTTCTCTTCCAGTCAAAATGGCGATAGCCGGTAAAGGGCCTACTATTGTCGCAGTGATGTGGACGGAGACTGTTATAGCTCTAATGGCAATTGGTCTTAGACTCTACACGAAAGGATTCATCACGCGAAATGTGGGATTCGATGATTATCTGATCATAGTCAGCTGGGTGAGTTGAGGGTATCGAATCACTCCTTGTCTTCGGTACTGATAATGGGTATTTAGTTTATGTTGATGCCATACACAGTGGCCTGCACGGCAGCTACAACTCAAGGGTTCGGTCAACATTCTTCGGATCTCACCATTGAGGCTTTCGCAAATGCCACCCGATCGGAGATCATTGGTCAAACGTATGTCGTACCTCATTCCAATAGCACACGCAATAGATCTAAGATATACTCTAGTTTCTGCATAATCGGCATAGCCACTAGCAAAGCTTCAGCATCGGTGTTTCTGCTGAGACTTGCAGTTGTCGAGTGGCACAAATGGATTCTTTACATCACCATGTTTGCGGTCACTGGTATCGCCGTCGTATGCGCTCTGTTTGACTTCATTCGGTGTGATCCGATAGCTCACGTTTGGAACCCGTACATTCCTGCCAAATGTTGGGTCTCCACAGAACAATTTACTGCTATGTCACTCGCCGTTGGAGGTGAGTGGCACGATTCCAGATTTCATCCCGCAATATTGGCTAATACCTGAAACGTACTTCCGCAGCAGCAGACTTCATTCTCGCTGCGCTACCATGGATCATACTTTGGAAGTTGAATATGAAGAAGAAGGAGAAAATTCTTATCACATCATCCATGAGTTTGGGAATTTTGTAGGTCTCCTCACTGGCACAAACCGGAGTCATAAACTCACATTCAAATAGTGCTATGGTGTGTGGTGTAATTAGAACAGTGACCCTAAACGGTCTCTCGTCAAGATCTGATTATTCCTGTGAGTAAATCCCCGTAGCCAATTATCCACAACTGAATTACTAACATTTTCTTTCAGATGAAACCATAGGTTTGATATTGTGGTCGTCTACCGAACTAATGATTACGATCCTGACTGCAACAATACCCACTTACCGACCACTATACAAAGCCTTGAGAGGTTCATTATCAAGTACGGGTAGGCGTTCCAGTCGAGGATATCGACTGGATAATCTAGAGGAGGAAGGAAAAAAAGATTTACCACCCCCTGCCGTAAAAAGACGACCCAAAAACGACACAACTTTAATGGCGACAGCTATGAGTGATAATGAGCACAATGATTACCATAGTGAGCGAGCTATTCTGGCATCTGGCAAGGGAGTACAATATTCAGACTCTTGATGTAGCAATGCATACTTGATACATGAAGGTAGAAAGAATACATACAAGAGGATCAGAACCAAGCGAGGAAACATTGTCAAGTATTAGGTATAAAAAACAGTCACCATAGCGCGGGTCAGATTTTGTTTACATTACATGAGCAACACTCAATTTCTTGACGGCGGAATCTCAAACCACTGACACGCGAGATTGTCACTGAGGGATGGATTTGTGCATAAACAGAAGGTCAAAATGCTGGTCAGTATAACCAAGGCATCAAGGACTTGGATATCATTTGGACTGAATTTGAAGCCTCCGCCCACACAGTGGAACAGGATTTACATTTTGGCTGATACGAATGAAAGAAGAATTAAAAATTAAAGGTTACGTTTACCCGGCACTCATGGGTAATTTGGCTGCAAGTTTTATGGTGGATACTCCATCAAGGTTATTTTTGAAACTTGACCCTCACACGCACCTTGAACATTACTTGTGCGGCTAAAAAGTATGTCACTCCGAGGCTTGATAGATGCACATACCACAGGATGGCAAACTACAAGAGGAGTAGTCTTGTTTTCATAGCGGTAGACCTACATGTCTTCTGGCAACAAGAGTGGATTGACCGCTTTTAGTACGGATAGGTTGTTTAATACCTGATATATATCAACTACAACACTAATTGTAACCCACTTTCCGGTCTCTGAGGCTTGGCTCATGATCATTATCTAATCGGTACGACTTACATTGTGATTTTCAAGACATGGAATTATGCGATGCCTGTCGACCTTCATTCATCCTAGGCATTTTACCCGGTCCATTGCCATTCAATATATGCGAGCACACTAACAGGGAAAGTATTAGATAAGTAAGTCGAGTACTTTACTTTCTGGCCACCTCTCTCTTAGATCACTCATTTATATTAAAAATCGCTTTTGTAGCTTATTAATAACTTTTTTATTTATAAATAGAATTTATTGAAAATATATATATATATAATTCAGATCATTTTAAGTTTATTCTAAAAAAATTAGATTTTTAGGATTTTTCTGAATAAAAATCTGAAGCTTTAAAATATTGATTTTTTAATTTGTGTGAGAATTATATACAAATTTTACTTTTTTCAAAAATCTTTAATAACTTTTCAATCAAAATTACTAAAAATAAACTATAAATCTTTATTATAAATTTTTATTACTTATAATATAGAAGATTTAAAAGAATTAGAAAAATTAGAAAAATTCTAATTAATAAGTATTTATAAGAATACTTTCGAAATTATAGGGATTGTTTTTTCTTACTTAAGTTATATCTTTATAACTATTAATTTTTTCTAATTTTTTTTTAATTTTCTATATAAATCCAAGCTTAAAACCTCAAAAAAGTAATTAATTTGTTTTCATTAATTATAATTAAAAAGTTATTAAAGATTTAAAACTGTTTTCAAATTTATATATAATTCTTATATAAATTAAAAATCAATATTTTAAAGCTTTAGATTCCTATTTAGAAAAATCTTAAAAATCTGAATTCTTTAATATAGACTTAAAATAATCTGAATTATATATACGTAAATTTTCAGTAAATTATATTGTATTTTGATAAAGATATTAATGTTAAGCAGACTTGATAAGATATATATATACAATATGTATGAATAAAAGGGTTGTTTATTTCTATCTATTCTCTTCATATGAAAAAGGAATTACTATATTTATATACATGTGCTACTCCTACTTATACACTTTATATATATATAGAGTAAAGCGTGACATATAATGTTACATTATTGGTCACGTGTTCCGACAATTAATAAATTGAAAAAGCACTTTTTGATATAAAATAATGACCTAAAATAAGAATAATTAGAAAGTCGAGTAAATCGAGTATTCTACTTTCGGACTACTTCTCTTTTAAGCCACTTTTTACACTAAAAATAGAATTTTTAACTCTTTTATTTATGAATGAAATTTATTGAAAATTTATATATATATAATTCCAATTGTTTTAAATCTAATCTAAAAAATTTAGATTTTTAGGATTTTTCTATATTGAAATCTAAAGCTTCAAAATATCGATTAGATTTAAAACGATCTGAATTATATATATACAAATTTTTAATAAATTCTATTTATAAATAAGAAAATTAAAATTCCATTTTTTGAGATTTTTAGTGATAAAGAGTGGCTCAAAATAGAAATGGTTCGAAAGTAGGGTACCCGATTTACCCGACTTAGATACCAAACTGCCGGGATGAACATGTAACGGAATTGTAATAGAAGAGTTCAATTGCCTATCGCACGTATCTGCCAACCAAAGAAATCAATCTCTATTCTAGTAATAATCTCTTCTTTAGGGTATTTTGTGACTCAACAAACTCCATCAAAGCAATTGATAGCATTACACATTAGAATCCTGGGTTATCAAACCGGAAGATCTACTGTTCAGTTGGCAAGTAAACTTTTTTAATTGGTTCACTGATTATATACGTTATGGAGCTGTCGTGGAGTCTTGACAAGCACCCTTCTATGGCAAGAAAGATAAAAGCAACATGGGGCGCAAGTAGATCAATACATATTTCCAACTGTTAGTTACCGGGGGCCAGCACTGCTGACCTGCGTACCCACTCTATCACCAGGATTGTTACTGGGTTCTGATACAGGCATTTCAAGCAAAAACAATGAGCTGGTGTAAACGAATTTCTTCCCATGTTCCGTCAAAGTTGCGAAGAAATTCAAGCAAGATTTTGATCGGGTTCTCCGACTTCTGTGCCTTCAAGATATCTTGATTGTCTCAGGAATCCACCCCATAACGAAAGATTTGATATATATCAGGTAACTTTACCGACTGCAATCTTTCTTCTTAAAGTATGAACTGAGACCACAATCCTACTTGTAAGAATACTCCAGGCAATTCATTCAGTAGGTATCCATATAGCTTCCTCCGGAGTGAGAGACACGCTGAAGAGATGAGTGCGCAGTTGAGTACGGTGTTTGCGGAGGGTATCTGCTAAAGGCCCGATTCAAAAATGGTAAACCTCAAGAACTTATTGACTGCTGAGATAGGTGCGTGCATGAAGACTAGGAAGTATATCTGGCCTAGTTAATGAGGATATCGTGATCTGGTTTGCATATATGCTCGGATGAAGATAGCTAAATCTAACAAACCAGTGTGTGTGCAAAGAGGCTGGAAGGAAACCGTACGGAATCTCGAAATCTGACCCTAGAAGTATGGAGTGGCGCTTATCAAAGCTCTCGGGATAACGTATGCGATATCTGTCCCGAGGTCTCGTGACTTGGTGTTTTCTGCCTTAGCAACAGACCCCGCGTCAACACGATCAACGCGTCGCAGCATCGACTAATTAAAGATCGCTTGAACATCTCACTTCGAACGTCAAACCTCGGCCTCGAACGACATTCATCATCAATCATTCATTTATCTATTTCTGCAATACACAATATGTAACACAACAACTCTTCAAAATGCCGAGCAAACAACGGACTTTCGAATTGGTGGACGCGCCAAAAGTCCATCGACCAATGACCAGTAAGCAAGCAAAAAAAGCATATCAAAAAGCAAATCGAACGCCACGAACAACGAAAGCCGAACAAAAGCGACGAGATGCCGAAGAACTGGCGAAGCACAGAAAAGCATATGAAAAAGAACAAGCAGCTGCGAAAGCGAAAGCGGCAAGAGATAAAAAGGTTGCAAAAGCATTAGAGCAGAAAGAAGAAAGGAAGAGACAGGGGATACCGGAACCCAGCAGATATGTTCGCCCAAGTCAGTCAAGGATTTCTTTATTTTTGAAGCAGGGAACCAAGAGATTTCGGGAGATGTCACATACAGGTGAAGAGTCTGAAGGTACTATGTGCGACGAATTGGATGACGAATCGCCCGCAAAACGAGTTGCGCATGGAATTTCCGAGGAGGATGAGGATGAAAATGGAAATGAGGATAAAGTCTTATCGAAACAAATTACGCGTCGCGATTTTGAGTACGAAGATAAAACCCAGAAGGAACAGCCTACAAACAAAAAGAGTGAGGAGGAAATAGTCATTTCGAGGTCAGCAATGCTACCAGAAGATTCCGAGGACGAATTTGGAGATTTTCCGCCCTTATCAGAAAACGATATTTCATTATTGGATACTAGTTCTATGCATTCCACCTCATCAAATGCGAATATAGGTAAAGTCAGATCTGCAGGTTTGACAAGACCCCCGTTTCAAACACCTACCACGCCATTCAATGATGAGCAGGAGCTACCACGGATGAAGAATTTTGAAAGGGAGCGAATCTCGCCTGATGATCCATTTGAATTAGAGAATATGCTTGATTCTCAAATCCGTTCCGAAGCAGCAGATGCAGTTTGCAAATCAGATAGTAAACAAGCAATATTAATTGACGAAAAGGCCAATAGAGACGACACAAAATCTACAACCTCCACATCAAGAATGTCTATAAAGAATTTCGCAGAGGAAAGAGAACTTCTTTGGCATGCCCCTATTCATGGTAGAAATATGTCAACTTCCCAATCCATACATACTAAATCACCATTACGTCTTCCCAGGGGTTCAGCTACAATAGTGACGCACGACAAGCAAAACAATTCACACTCACGCACAGTACCTTATGATCGTCTACAAGATCCTTCTTCCAATATAAATTGCAATACAGTTTCAGCACCAGGAACAAATACACGCCTCAATTCCAGGCCGCCAAATAGAAACCCACCCCCCGCGCAGACATCAATGGATGTTGCTCCAGCTATGTCAAAGAATGCTACTGTCACTGCCTCTGAAATTTCAGTCTCTCGATCAACCAATCTGGATCAGCAGGGCTCGCGAGAGGAATTCGTTCACTCTCTTGTGCCCAAACCTCACCATATCAAACGAGAACCGGCTCAAAATTCACCTGTTCAAGCCCCTACATCCAAATCCTATATACGCCCCGCACTCCAGGAGAAATCTATAAACATGGGTCCCCCAGCTCTTCCCCAGAAAAGCAAACTTGGAACGTCCTTTGTTGCTCCAGTCAATACTAGGAAAGCAACCGATCCTTATAGTCTTCCACCTTCCACGCAAGCATTTCTTGAATCTCATCTTGATGACTTCTTTCCTAGTGCAACTCAAGAAGCTAGAGAATTATGTGAAGAATCCATTATATCTCAATCTTTCACAGACTTAGGTAGGAACTTTTCTCACAAACAAGACCAAGAAAATCGAGGCCATGTGAAGGATAATGTACCCACATCAGCAGTTCCTACAACTGCTGATGATGAATTTGGAGGCATGCTATCTACGCAGGAACTCAAGATGTTTTCGCAGGATTGGGAAATTTCTGACTCAACGCCCCAAAAAGGAAATGAGAGGGAAGATACCATTGAATCACACAAAGAGATAACGATAGGAATAGAAGATCTGCAAAGCTTTATTTGTAGCCAAGACTCAATTTTTTCCAATCAGGAACTCGCTGGATTGGAGAATGCGTCAAAAGCCAAATCACCGATGGCAGATTTCTCACAGCTACCACAAGCTCAAATTTCTACTTTTAGTCACCATCAAGATCGACCAGCAAGATTGCAAAGCCAGTCAGATGAACCAAGTACTCCACAGATTGATCCAGATATGGAACTCACGCCCAAACCAAAAAGATCACCTTGGTTCAAGGAGAAACCGGAAGATAAGTTTACTAAAAAGAGATTTTTTACCGAGAAACCAGAAGATTTGGAGGCTGCTGCTTTAGCGGAGAGTAAGAAAGCATGGGATGAAATTAAAGAGGCAACTTCTTCTAATAGACACAACTTTGACGATGACCTTGAACCTGAAATCGATGGACAGCTTAAAGCTGCACTTGCTGAAAGTAAGGAGTGGGATGAGGTATATAAAGCGGTTCTTCCCACACCTACACCAAGAAAGACTAGCGAGAGGGGCAGACGTGAGATGGATATTGAGGAGGCAGAATTCCAAACACCATCACGAATCATAGATAAGCAGAAGGGAGCGAGTGCTATCGCGAACGAGTCGCATCAATTCAAAAGGGCTGCTAGTGTTGCTAGTACCGATTATGGTGATGGAGAGGTTTCTGATTGGGACGAGGTATTGGATGGACTTTGACAAACGTATCAGAAAACGATGAATATATTAGAAAGAATCACGACTTCTGGGTGTTGGTAGCATTATGGGTTGGAATGGGTATGGGATTAGATATGGGTATATAAATGCGCTGCTTTGGGTTTAGGCATTGGTAATGACATGGATATGTACATTGTCTTCGCGCGTCGCATATTATAGGATACTAACATACATAGGGGCGTTTGATTATTTGTTTAGCATGGTATCATGGACGGTGTGGAGGCGCTTTTTATTGCACTCTTTTGTGATGAGAAACTTGTGGAGAGGTAATTTTAGTAGGGCCACTGATTGCATTTCCATTCAGAGTCTACAATGATCTAAGGTCTATTTTCTACTGCGGTCGTTGTGATACGGGGGAAATGATCATAGCATCGATCGTTTGAAGACCCAAATGCTTTTGTAGGGCAGTAAGGATCACATTCTGATACCTCGGTGTGCTTTTCTCAAATAAGTAATTGAAGATAATGAACACTTATCCCATATCTCGTATTTGATTACAGCGTGAAGAGAGTTTCACAAGTTCTTCGGGACGTTTGATGGTCCCATTTTCTGATTTTGGAATCATCGTGATGCTTCTTACAGGCACAACGAAAGCAACTTCAAAATCACTATTTAGTTGGTTATAATCTGTTCACTTTCCGTCATATGTCTCATTGCCAAAATTCCCCAGACTCCGTCTAGATCTGGGGATAAATAATATCTCGAATGTCTTCCGATGACAGCGCCATAGTGTCACGGGTAGATCATAATGGAATATGGAATGGTCAATTCAGATAAAAGAAATTTATAATCAATAATTAACCACATCGCGACAGATGGAACACAAAAAATGCAAAAAAGTGTCCCCCCCGCCTCAAAACACAACTTCAAAGTGAAATTCTCACCAAGAGATATTTTACTCTCCTAAAGTAAACCCCACTAAACTACTTCCACATTTTGCACTTTTCCACCCCAAGCTTGATGTTAGCTTTGTGGGAAGACCTTGAGTTTGAATGAAAGGAATAGGTGTGATTGAGAAAGCTGAGGGTGCCGTGCAGGCATCGTCGCTAATTCAGTCAGGAGGTTAGTTGTCTATTTTACACAGTAAGAAAATAAAGAAAAGGGAGGAAGACATTACCTATAAAAAGAACAATGTGCATCACGACAAAAGAGAGCGGAATTAAGAGGATTTCCGAAGATTTCGAATGGGAAACAGAGGGAATATGCGTAGGTTGCTGCGAGGTCGCCAGAGTAGCTTGCGAAGATGAACTTTGAGATGGTTAGTTTTTGGATGATGTTGGGGGTTTTCTTTGAGGTTTGGTAGTTTGGTGGGATAATTATGTGTAGGATTGAAGAAGTGAAATGGAGAAGACTGTGAGGATGGGGAGTGTATAGAGGAAAGAGCTCATTACATTATTGGCATTCTGGGCTTGACATGAATTTATTGTGTCGGCTGTTGTTTGAGCATTGATGGTTGTATAGCTCGCGAAACCGAGGAATAGACTTGTGAGGGGAGTGGTGATCTTCATTTTTGTTTATGAATGTAATGAAGGGTCAACGAATGAGAAGTTTGAAACTTAGGGTCCGATGAGGGATGAGATTCTGTGTGGATTTTATGATAGGATTGACATTTTATCGAGGGGATAATAGCGTGGATTTATACCTGTTGAATTGAGTCATCCAAGAGAAGTTAGTGGGTCTTGGGTGAAGCCATGCTGCCGAGCCTGTGAACAATTTTTTATCAAAATGTCGAATCAAATACTGACAGAATGAAATATCGATCAAGCTCCCAGTAAATCGGCAGACTGGTAGTTGATATATCCAAATGATATATGATATTTTAAAAGACAATCGTAAAAAGCAAGGTAAGTAAAGCCTAAAACATCTCAAATTGCCCCCAAGAACCGCTTGTACATAGACACAGTCTCGCTTATTATGAAATCATTGACACGCCTGACATTTCTCGAAACAAAACTTGGTAACGGTAATTTGAGATAGTACTACAAAGTGAAACCAAAACGACGAGCTGAGAGGTAAGATTGTAACACGGATAGATATGGAAGAACATTAAAACGTGAATTGACGATTTGGATCGGTATATTTAGTGTTCGGCCACACCGGTGGATCTCAAAATTGATTGATCGTGAATCTTGAAGGACGATCTGGAGGAATGCTACAAGAGAGTACAAAAATTCCCAAGTTCTATAATGCCGATAATGATACGATGATGAGAAACATGTTAGGCATCAGCGATTTACTTTGCTACAAGCCGTTTCATGGCATTGACATAAATGAGATATTTTGGCTTGCACATGTCAGTCGTCACTAAAGCATGGCATGAAAATGGGGATTCGATCGCAATTCTTAGACAGATGAATCAAACAAGGACTCTTGTGCGGAAATGTAAATCTTTGAAGACCAGAATCAACAGTAACTGAAGGCGTAAAGACTTGCACTAGCTTGGAATTTCAATCATAAGGGACTTTGGTAGGTACCAATTTTTTCAATGACGACCAACACTGATTTTCTGAAACTTTAAAGCCTCTTCCCATGCTAACATATAGCAACCATCCTCCAGATACCAAGATTTACTGAACACCTCATCAATTGTCTCCAATGAAAAGCTTTGGCTAATTGAAGGATTAAACTGGCAAGTCAAGTGGGAGTTCTTGACAAATTGCGCCTTTTCCTAACACTGTTGTTACAACTCCCGCTGGATTGACCAAAATTAAACTTCTTGGAACTGTGAGGACAATGTTAGGGTCGGTACAATCATCGCCGCTATTTTAAGCATATTAGTATATCTTCTGATAAATCTCGGAAAAATGATGGAGAATCTAGAATGGTGGGTACTTTACTAAAGCTATCAAAACAACAGCACGAGATGAGGAGTGAGAAAATGAAAATTTTGATACATACGAGCAGTTCGTACAGATGACACTCTTGCAAAAAACGGCTGCCAATGCGGTACTACCATTTACAACGTATGGATAGCATTCCCCAAAATTATAGGAGGTTATTACATCATTATCATATTGAACTCCGACGTACTGAGGAAAGTTAGTGAGTGCGATTTTTATCCAGCTATCAAGTGAAATACGAAAAGAAACTACCGGAATTCGGTGTCGACCAAATATGACGCCCGGTCCTAGCTCAAGATGTAGTTAAAATATAAAGAAAGACCAACAAACTTACAGCATTAGGGCCCGCGGATAGACAGTAACTGTTGAGGACTGTGTAACTGGGGACAACAGATGATGATTGAGGAATGGAGGTATCTCTCGATGAAACAACAGGAATAAGAGGATTAGCGATGGCTAATGCACCGAATGATGCAGTTCCAATTGAAGAGAAAATTCTCATTCTGTAAAGTGATCTTTTTATTGTGGAGGAAATTCAGAAACGTCAAGGTATTTGGAATGATAAACTTCTTTTAAAGTCCTCGACGTTGATACTTATACCTAAGTAGCTTCCGAAAAGCTTGGCTCGGAATTGATTGTTTCTCGGGAAAGTGATCGAAATCTTTATCGCTTGACATCATTAGATTCTGAAGTGCGAGACAATGAACGAAAATCACGATTTTATTATGCAGTACTACTCAGTGACTACTCAAGTGACGGCAGTTGCGGGAAATAAATTTAAATAACAGGTAAACATCCTGAAATCTTTAATTGCTAAGCTGAAAGAACAATTATTATCGTGGAGGCTGGCGTGTACTCCGACACTAGACCTTTGCGTAACAGAGGAAGATTATGTGCAATGTCTCTTGATCGCTGTAGCATCGGAATGATCAACAATCTCCAGGAATACTCGGTGTCACCAAAGATTGTATGAGATATCCGAGTCGTGTATCTAGATGGAAGAATATTTATAGAAAGCTTGAATTGATCACATCTGTCATGACTCCATAACTGCTAATGATGAGGTTGAAAGGAAAATTTGGCACGTGATGTTGAAGACGGTTTGAAGACGTGAGCTAGTCCCAATTAAACGTGACAGGGTCTAAATATAATGTGGCACAAAATTGACTGGGTGAAAGATAAAACTATTATCTTAGAACCCTTAGGATGGCTAGTATAGAGATGATTTGAAAGCATTGACTTCAAGGATAGCATGTTTATCTAATCAACCAAAGTATTTGAGTATATTTCTGAAGGATTCATTCAGTAAATTGATCGATGCGCGGTTGACGAGTAGCTATCCCACCCCTGGATCCCATATTTCCGTCGTCTCGTCGGAATGTTGACCGTGCACGGCAGATGTTCTTGAAAACAATCCATGCTCTTGCTTCTATCATTGGTCTTGTCGGCTAACAGCTCACTAGATATATCATCGAGAGTGGATTTATATTTCCTTGATGTGCAATCAATACATCTATAATCCGAAATTAATTCATCAACTGTGATGAAGTTCACACTTTATAAGATGTTCTCATAACACTCCCGTCAAAAATGAGATATATTCAACCAACATACTCCTCTTACTTCTTCGGTACGATAAATCGACTTGTACCTAGAAATTCACTTCCTCAAAATGTTACCAACCATAGTTTTGATAACTGGTGCAAATCGGCGCTTAGGTAAAGGACTTCTAGAACGCTTCTTAGCATTACCGAATCACATAGTGATTGCGGCAACTCGTGATACATCCCATAAGATTTCGAAAAAGCTCGCCGATTTGCCGAAAGGCTCCGGGAGTGGTTGTAAGTATACTGGGTTTACCTTCCGCTGGTTAGGACTTGCAATGAAGAGGCACAATATAGGACTTCCTAATCAGTTTTTGAATGATCTCCAAACATTAAGAATAAGTCTGACTTTTGACAGTAATTGTCGTCAAAATTGATGACTCGATCGAACAAGATGCATTTGACGTCGTCCAAGAACTCCAGGACCAGCATAACATCCAACACATCGATATCGTTATTACAAACGTAGGCGTTTCGTATGTCTGGCCAACAGTAGCTGATCTCAAGATATCGGACCTGAAAGCCCACATAGAGCCTAATTTTCATTGCTATATATCGATATACCAAGCAGCATGACCTTTGTTGCAAAAATCAAAGGATCCTATTTCACGCCTGTGGGCTCTCCGGCCGGGGCAATTGCGTAAGTGTAAACACATTCTAGCCATAGTGTTAATTTCTGGTGTTAATTTATCGATAGACATCAACCTCCAATCAGGAATGCTGCATATGGACCAACAAAGGCTGCTGTTAACTGGCTTACTGTTCGAATCCATGTTAAGAACGACTGGCTAAATGCCGTTGTTATGGTCCCTGGATGGGTCGCAACCGAGCTAGGCTATGAAGGCGCAAAAGGTCTTGATAAGAGTAATATGATTCATAACTGATTTTCGTGTATTATCACAAGTTCCATCAGCACAACATGCCGGACTATCCGGAGTACATCAATCCTCAGAGCAGCTACAACTACCACTTCCCGATCCACTTTTGACCGCATAAATCATCTATTCAATGCATCCAAAGGGGCCATTCCAAATATAAGCGCTACCATAATTATCATCAATGCTCTCGTCATCGCAAATAGAGACGTTGTAATCGAAATGTGCTTCACAGATATCTGATTCAGATCCGAATGTCCAGCCATCCTCAGGACTACATCCGGATTGATCAGGAGCCTAATTTACTTGTGCGATGACATCAACACCTGTTGGATTCGTGTACACATATGTAAAGGCAGGACCACTAGCTGAAAGAGTATTGCCTTGATTACAAATGGAATACAGAACTTCTTGCTCCCCTGTGATATTGAAGGGTACATAGTCCCTATCACTATGCTGTCTAAAACAATATGCTGGGTTATCATGGGGATCGCTTTGTGTTGGAATTGGTAACAATGAAGTGGTAGTACTTTTCACTGGGGCAACTGTGCTTGTGGGTGTTAATGGATTGGTTCCATAGCCAGGGGCAGTGATGGATGCAGAAGATGCAACAGCCAGAGGATATAAGGTAGCCGTAAGTCCCCCAAGTACCATAGCAGATGGAGTCACGACTGCTGGAACACTACATCCAACTACATTTACAGTTATCGATCCCGAGGTAACAGTGTGTAAGGACCCCAATATAGACACGTTCTGAAATAGTAGTTTGTATCACAGTCCAAATTGGAGTGATTGTTCGATCTTCATCTGATTCTTCATCATCACTTGTTGGTAGTGCGATAAGCGGATAATAATCTGTTGCCGTGAAAGTGGTAATACTAGGCTCAACAGCGTACCCAGTAATCGTATTAGAACTAGTGGTAACGCAAGTACTAGAATCACAAGAGACCCAATATTTTTTTGCTGTTTCTGTCGCACTTTCGGTGGAGGTAGGAGTTCCAGTTGTATGAAAATTGGCTGTACAAGGGCTTCCACAATTTGAGGTGTAGGTAGGCTCCACTAATTTGCCACTTTTAAATGTACTTGTCGATTCAGATATATCAGGAGGACAATCAATAGAGAAAATGTCAAGGAATTTGAAGCAAGGTAGGTTTGGAATTGGAGGAAACTCCGGGAGAGATGGAATCTCGATAGGCAATAGTGTGGGTATTAGAACTGGAGACTAATAAAATCCTCCAGCTTGAACTCAGATTGGGATCAAAGTGATGGTTGATGGAGTGCTTGATGAACCTGTTAATCTTTCGACTAACGATGTGGTGGTGTTTGTTGGTGCAGTAAGCGTTCTAAGGTTGGTGGATTGAGCCTCGGAAAATATCTGGGTGACACTTCCAGATAAATAAACGGTAGTTCCTAGTGAATTATAAATATACGCTGTGACTAATCCCAACGCAGAACCAGCCACGGGTAGAAAATAGATCGTTGTAGTTGTAATTCTAACTATGATGACTAAAGGCTCGGGCTCGAAGCTAGAAGTCAGAGCAAAAGTAAAGGAGCTTTCTCCGGCATCGATTGACATAAGTCAACTACCCCACTTTCCGACCACCCCCTGTTTCCGACCACCTAAAAAATTCATATTATCTACACTTAAAACTTTAATAACTCAATAACTATTGAACTTCAATGAAATCGCCTGTAGAATCACTTTCTATAGCACTAGAGCTATCATCTACCTCATCTTCACGATCTCCAGCTTCAATTTGTGTACGCCTTATAGCTCTAATCCCTGCGAACTTCGAATTTGGAGATACCACAACCTTTCGCCTTTTTCTAGGTAATGCTTCATCTAATTGATATTCTAGCTTTCTAATCTTATTCTCTGCCTCTAAGAGTTCATAATCCTTAGCATCGAATCCTTTTATAATCTTGCGAAATAGTAATCTTCGTGTTGGCAAATCGATCTCCTTCTCTTGAATCATTATATCTCTATATTTTCTGATATCGGCTCCTTTTTGAGGGGTTTTCCATTGAATAAACGATGAATATATATTCCATTGAAGAATAGGATCATCATCAGATTCAGGATTAAGTGATAAAACCTCTCTATTGCTATTTTCAAGCAAAAGTCGACTCATAAGAGGTTTAGCCATATTTTTGGGCCAAAGACCACTAGCTTGCCACCCAGACTTGATATTTTGAATAGTTAAACCTTCTATTCTAGCCTTCTGATAGCAAGAAAGGAAATTGCGCTTTCCAATTGGTGAGGAATCGGATAATAGACTTAATTTATTAAGTTCGATTCGATATGCACTTTTTAGGGGTGAGAACACAGATAAATCGAGTGGTTGTAGTACGTGTGACGTATGTGGTGGGAGAAGTAAGAGATATATGTTGTTATTAAAGCATTCTAACATAAATGCTGTAGTTTCATGGCTTCCGTGTCCGTCCAAAATGAGGAGTCTTGAATTTTCCGGCTGAATAGGGGTAGTTTGAGGGATATAGATCTTTTTCAGCCATTCTAAAGCTGTAGCATCTGTAGTCCATCCATTTTCTGTAGCGGTAAAGTTCCAACCCTTGAATAGAGTCAAATCTGTTGGAAACCATTGTTGTTGAACTGATTTTCCCTTATATATTACAAGGGGAGTAATGCTTTTTCCATTGGCTGAAATGCATTCTATAAAAGAGGTCCAAATTCGAGATCCAGGTTGCTTTTTTTGAATAAATCTTCGATCAGTGCTTCCTACTACTAGTCCATTAAGACCCTGACCCTCCATTATACCTGCTTCATCCATATTCCATCTGTTGGCCGGCTTAATAGCCTTGATTTCAGGGATTGCGAGGTTCCGGAACCACTTCTTAATAATATCAGATGTAGCACCTGAAACTCGTGCAGAATCGATTTGATGTTGCTTCTTAGTTCCAATATTAGGATGCCTTCGAAAAAAGCTATGTATCCATTTCTTTCCAAGTGAGGGATCCTCCCCTCGTACAATAAGGAGGTGCTCTGCCATCTCTCTGATTTGACGATGTGTAGGGCTAGTACCAAGAGCTTCCTGTACTAATATCCATTCTGCTAGTCGATTCTCCTGAATTGGAGATAACTTTTGAAGTATTTGGGCGCCTTTTTGATGCGAAACTCCACCATATATTCGATCGTGAAGTGTGGTACGTGGAACACCATAATCCAAGCTAGCTCTTCGTATGCTTGCTCCATTTGTAATCGCTCTAAGAGCCTCTGCGATATCTTCTTCGGTATATCTATTCTTCATATCACAATTATAATAATATCAAAATTTCAAATCAATTGATTAAAGCATTGTTGAGTTATTCAAAGTATAAATTTTATAATTACTCAAAGCGGTGTGGTTTTTGAGGTGGTCGAAAAGAGGGGGTGGTCGGAAAGTGGGGTAGTTGACTTAGATGATATGTATAATATGGATGAAACCGGATTTGGAGTTGGAAGTACTCAAAGTACGCGCATTATAGTCGATTCTACTCAGAAATCGAATTGGAAAGTTACAGCTGGCAAGCAAGAATGGATAACTGCATTTGAATGTGTCAATGCAGCTGGAAATGCTCTATCACCTATGGTCATTTTCAAGGCTCAGAATACGAATTCTGCATGGATTCCAAAGGACACACCTCAAAGCTGGCAGTTCTCTACTAGTACAAATGGATGGACCTCAAATAGCCATGGATTAGAATGGTTAAAAAGGGTTTTCGAACCAGAATCCAAGAAAGTGTCAGGTGACCGACCTCGACTTTTGATCATGGATGGCCATTCAAGCCATATTACAGGTAGCTTTATTGCTTTCTGTATAGATAATGATATTGATTTACTTATATTACCTCCTCATTGCTCTCACTTGCTTCAGCCACTTGATATTGCGGTGTATGGGCCAATGAAACGATATCATGCTTTAGAGGTCGATCGATATTCTCGAGCTGGTGTAAAGCGAATCCAAAGAGCTGAATGGGTAGAACTCTTTCAAAATATTAGAAAAAAAGCATTGAATTCTTCTAATATTAAAGCTGGCTGGAGAGGAGCTGGTTTAGTACCTTTTGCCCCACGAAAAGTACTCGATTCATTACCATTTAACTCCTCCCAGCAACCTTCTACTCCACAAATGAGAACCCCCAATCAAGACCTAGACTTGTCTATACTCAGGAGTTCTCCTCCAGATGGAACAGAACTAAGGCAAGCAAATCAGATCTTTAATACAGCTCTAGCAAGCAGTGGTTCTCCTGCATCGCCAACTCGTCGATATGCCAAGAGAATGACTAGGCTTGTAGAATCTCAAAATGCTGAGATAGCCCTACTTCGGAAACAGCTCTCTGATGCTCAGGAGGTAATTGAGACTCGAAAGAAAAGAACTAAAGGCAAAAGAGTCAAATTACAAGGTCAATTTGTCTTTAGTACTAAGGAAGTATTGAAAATGGTACGTGAGGCGGAGGAAAAACCGAAGGAGAAAAAGCCACGAGGACGGCCACGCAAACGCCCAATTGAAGAATCAGAAGAAGAGATTGAAGAAGAAGAGCTAGAGAATAGTTCAAGTGATTCGGAATTGGAATTGGAGGATTGTGTGGCTCGTAGAACAAGATCGCGTGTAGAATAATTGAAAAAGTGTCCGAGTTCCCCATATGTCCGAGTTCCCCATACGTTACGTTATATGATTTTTATATAAATTAAAAAATCAATATTTTAAAGGTTTGAATTTCAATATAAAAAAATCCTAAAAATCTAAATTTTTTAAAATAAGTTTAAAATAGTTTAAAAAATATATATTCAAATTTTTATTAAATTAGATTATATATTGATAGAGATATTAATAGGTTAAAAATGTTATGGTGTGGAATTACGTGATAGGTTGGTCCTATCGGATAGGACCAAAATAAGTACTTACACTAAAACTCAAATAAGCTAAAACCCGATCGAGCTAGTTTGCTTATAAAAATTCTATATATCTTTAATTTAGAAGATTTTGTATTATAATTCTTTGAACTATATCTTAATCTTAAAATCTAAATCTATTACCTAAATCATTATAACTTTGTTATATTAAAACAAAGTTATTAAAGCCTTATTCTTATCTACCAGCCTTATAATACTACATAATTTCGATCCTATAAATATTGTTTTTATAATACCCATTCCACACTTGCCCAATTAGCCTGAAGATACCTTAGTTTTTAGTGTTTTTGTATCTAAAGATCCCCAAACCTAATACTAGTATTTTCAGTCAGCATCTACATATTATACCAAGCTAAAAAAGATTAATTGATCACTCGAATAAGAACTTTCCAAGATATTAATCAAGGAACGTATTCAAACTACATTACAAGAACAGATTGTCATATAGAATGCCTGCCTACTCGACCGCCTTACTAAATCTATATTTGTTACCTTCATTTGTATTAAAATTGTATTCCTTCAAATATCACGGGGCTGGTAGGCAAGAATAAGACTTTAGTAACTTTGCTTTAATATAATAAAGTTATAATGATTCAGGTAATAGGTTTAGATTTTAGGATTAAGATGTAGTTTGAAGAGTTATAATATAAAATCTTTCAAATTGAAGATATATGGAATTTTTATAAGTGAGTTAGTCTGATTGGGTTTTAGCTCATTTGGACTTTAGTATAAACGTTTATTTTGA